AGAGAAAAATGCCAACATCGGTGATTGATTGGGTAAGAGTTCCTTCGACTCAACCAGGTCATTCAATATTTCAGCGAGTATTCTGGGCTTATGGACCTTGTATAGAAGGATTCAAGAATTGTCCAGGCGTCATGGTTGTGGATGGAACATTTCTTACTGGGAAGTATAAAGGAGTGCTACTCATGGCGAGCTCATTTGATGGCCGGAAGAAGATTTTTCCAATTGCATTTGCCATAGTGGAGAGCGAGAATACTGAGAGTTGGCCATGGTTGATGAGGAAGGTTCAGGGTTTGATTGATCGAAATGATGTATGCATCATCTCAGATAGACATGCAGGACTCTATGAAGCCATGAATAACATCGGAAGAGGTTGGGAGTGGAGGTGGTGCATGCGACACTATGCAAGCAATTTGCAAAGGAAGACTAAAAGCAAAATTATGTATAATCAACTATTTCGAGTCGGTAAGCTTTCTTCATTTAATTTTGTTATTTGTTTTCATGTAATTTTGTCATGAATTTATCTAACCCGTGTTGTGGTTTATTTTGTTAGCCGGAGAAAAACGGTTGGAGAAGTTTGATCGTCAAGTTGAGCAATTTAAGAAGGTGGCCGCTGATAGAAATATTTCATGTGATAACTGGGTGGATCAACATCAGATTCGTTGGAGTTTAGCACATGATAACTACAATGGTGGGGGTCGTTGGTCTATCCTGACATCCAGCATGGCAGAAAGCGTCAATGGTATTTTCAAAGGTATTCGTGCACTTCCTATAGCTTCTCTTGTGCAGCATACCTATTGGCGATTGGCGGAGAAATTCGATAAGTATAGGTTGTAGACAGGAGCAGAAATTAGAAGTGGCGGTTCACAGTACTCCACCAAGTGCGAAGAACTGATGAAGTACAGATCACAAAAGGCAATTGGACATTCTGTGACAGCTCTTGATCGAAGTCAAGGCATCTATGTAGTTCAGACTCCTCCCAACAATTTCAACATGACGGGGTCAAACACACTCACAGTTCACTTTGACGATCAAAACCGGGCAGAATTTTGCACTTGTGGTAAATTTCAAGGAAATAAAATTCCTTGCTCTCATGCCATTGCAGCTTGCAACCGAATGGGGGCTAATGCGTATAGGTTTGTCAACGATGTCCACAAGCTGGAAACAGTGATGGCTTGTTATGGGACAAGTTTCGCACCTCTTGATGAACCTAAGGGTTGGAAGAAGCATAATGGTCCTATTCTCCATCCTAATGTGCACATGATTAGGAAGCCGGGGAGGCCATGAGTTACAAGGATTCACAACGAGATGGACTGGCCAAGGGAGGGTGCATCACACCAAGTGTGTAGCAATTGTAACCAAGCGGGACATAATGCATCAACCTGCGATGGCCAAGCTAGTGGGAGTGGGAGCAACCGAGGAGGGAGTGGTGGCCAACGAAGTGCGAGAGGTGGTAGAAGAGGAAGTAGAGGTAATAGACGTGGCTGAGAGGTGGTAGACGTTGTTGTATTTCTTTTGATTTACCATGTAAAAGTTGTTGTTTGTTTGAGATGTTGTTGTTTGGTATGTTGTTGTTATGTTTTTTATCGTTAATAATAATAATAATCCAAAAATAATAGTCTAAATGAAGTACATAATAATAACAATCCAAAAATAATAGTCTAAAGGAAGTACATAATAATAACAATCCAAAAAATAAGGAAGTACATAATAATAATAGTCTCACTGACAATCACCACGACGACCATCATGCTCCACCGCTAGATGGCCGCCAGTACCACAACTCGCAGGCACCCTGTTACGCACTGGTCTACCATCATACTCCTGGGGCTCGTCTTCCTCAACACCACCATCCTGATCCTGTGTACCGAACATATCATCCTGCTGAGACTGAAGATGCTCCTCAGGCTGACCGCCACCAGGCTGCTGAGACTGAAACTGCTGTTCATAATTCCACATCGTCTCCCGAAACGCCTCATGCTCATCTAGGTTTCCCCACAGGTCGGGAGACGAGGCTGCTCTAGTATCACCACCTGAGGCCATGTTTCCCATTGTAGCATCCTCCGGTGTATGGAAGCTATCCTCTGGCTGATAGAAGCTCGAAGACGGATCTGACTGAAACTGCTGCCGTCGCGGCGGCTGAAAGCTCGAAGATGGATCTGACTGAAACTGCTGCCGTCGCGGCGGGTGAAAGCTCGAGGAAGGATCTGACTGAAACTGCGACCGAAGCGGATTAAACTGGAAGCTCCTCGATGTAGGCCGGATGGGCTGTGCTCGCTGTCGATCTGAAACCCGAAATGGGTTAGGTGCATCACGATGCTCACGTCGCTGTCTACGTGGCCTATGCTCCTGTCTGAACTGTGGCTTTGGGACGACCCAGCCCGGTGTCGGATCAGTACGCTCTGGCCAGGCAGTCATGACGGGCTCCTCATAATGGGGCTGTACAGGTACCGTGAGATCAGGGTATCTACGCTGCTCAAACCCTAGAGTAGCAACCCCGGATGCCATAAAGTTGGCCAAGTCCTCACTGGCCGGGGGTCAGCCCTCCAGCCCGTACACCGTCACGCAAACTCACCTCAGCATGCTCGATAGTGTCGTACTAAAAAACACCAACAAAATGTCAGATATTTCACACAGTTAACAACAAATTAAGCAAACAAATCAAATAACTAACCAATGCCTCTTATGCAGCTCCTCTCCGTGTGCCGGAACGTCTGGTGACATCTCTATACCACTCCATATGCTCCGAGTGGTAGGCTAACTCCTCATCAGTGTATGGAGCCGTCGCTACAAACTCGTGTCGACGGTTCCATAAAGCAAGCGACTCTCTGGAGGCATGTACCAACTGCTGCCCACGCGATGGCCCACGAGTAGCCTGGCAAAGAAAAAACCTAACCTCAGCCTCAGGATGTGGCGGATGAGGCTCATGCTGCCTCATGCCAAACTGGCGGAGCACGCGGTCTGGATGATGCCACATCACCGATGAAAAGCAGATAAGTGGCACTACTGCTCGAAATGTCTCAGACTGTATCACACTACCTCTGAGATGAAGTGCTCTCTCAAGGTAAGGTTGCCACTACATAAAAAAAATTAACGCTATTATCCCTAAATCTAAAAAAATAAAACAAATGAAAACTATTCTATAAAATGGAATGTTATATACTAACCACCATGGTGTCCATCGCGTCAAACCACAGCTTGTACTGGAATAGCTGGTCACCATACTGACGACTGTTGGCCGAAAGCCATCGAAGACCACGTGGGGATGCATCCTCGGTGGCCTGTGCCCTCGTCTCTGAATCTCGAGGTGCCAGATGTGGGAATCGCTCCCACGCCCAAAACTGCAGTAGGGCGACCCATCCACCAAGGTCACCGCTAAGAGAAGTGCCGGTATGCGTAATGTGCAAAGTCGACCTACCCATCTCACGGTACAGGTAGGATAAAACAGCAGCTCCCCAGGCGAACCGTCTAGCTCTCTGCCAATCCTCAATCAGAAGTAGGTACTGTAGGTGCACCGTACCTCCAGACCGATCCGGGAAAAGTACACCTCCAATCAGAGATAGAGCATAAGCTCGAGCAAACTGCTCTATAACCTCCTGTGATGCATTTTCAGGCAGATGATTGAATTCAACCCTCAGCCAAACAATCCTAACAACAGCGACACCACCTACAAGATCAGCCAGAACCCGTCCTAACAGTCTCAAACAGATCGCCGACCACTCCTCATCCGGTATATCAACTACGACGACATCACCGTCGATCGCCAGACCGGACAGTGTAACAACGTCCTCTAACGTGATCGTGATCTCACCACACGATAGATGGAAGGTCGACGTCTCGGGTCGCCACCGCTCTACGAGCGCAGTAATCAGACTCGCATCGGGGTTCATAGGGACTAGGGGCACGACACTTAACAAGCCTGCCTCTTCGAGATATGGCCGATAAAGCTCATGGTAAGGTACTAAAATGGTCGTACCTCGAACATGGTAAGATCGATCACCAGCCTATAGTGCACAAAACTTATATTAATTCATTTTCATTCGTAATAATTCTAATTTCACCTAATAAATTCTAATCTGTCTTATCTAACATAAAATTATACTAATTTCAAATTATACTAATTTCCCCTAACAGTTCAGTTCACCAACTAAAATAATCTAATTAGCTAATTAACTTTACATGAATAATTATCAAATACTTACCTCGTTTGTCCAAACAGAGTCGATACGATGTTGGCCATGTCCCCAAAGAAGTGTCGGATCGACCGGACTTGGATCAATTGTCGTCGGCGGTAATCTCATCGAATAAGGATCCATAAGCCTAGGAACTGCAAAAACAAAGCAACAAAACATTAAAAAAAACACAAAACATTAAAAAAAAAATCAAGCCGCCGATGAGCTCACCGCGCAAACGGCCGTCGACTCCACCACGACCTCGCCGGCCTCTCCCTCTGCCGGCGGCGACTGGTTCTTCGTCGGAGGACATCTCGGGTGGTGGCGCTTCTGTCTCCCGCGGCGGGGCTTCAGTCTTTGGCGGCGGCGCTTCACTCGGCAGCGGCGGCGCCTGACTCTGCGGCGACGGCGCCTCAGTCCTGGGCGGCATCGCTTGCGGCGGGCGGCTGGGCTTCTCTCCGGTTCGGGGGGTGGGGGGGGGGGGTGTGTGGTGTGGAGGAGTGAAGAAGAGGAAGGAAGAAGAAGAGGATATAAGGTGGGAGGGGCCCGAGGTTCGGTATATTAAAAAAAAATAGGGTGGGGCGCTGCCGCTGGAGACTCGGACGCCAGCGCCTAAGACTGGGTAAAAATATAACTGAGGCGCCAGCGCCCAGAACTGGGTAAAACATCAGCCCCGCCTGAGTCTCAGGTGGTCCCACGCCAAACCTTACTAAAAAACACAATATCTGTGTCAATACTTTTTAATTGGCCATATTAGTGGTAAATTAAAAAAAAAATATTTGTGTCATTAATCCTAATATAGATAGGAAAATAAAAGTCCAAAAATAGAGCAAAGAAGCGACACTAGGCAGTGGAATATGCTTACATTGTCCTTCCTTCTTTCCTTCCCACCCACTGCCACTCCCTCAATAATTTACAAAAGAAGTGTCAAAAGCCAAACCCCATTCTTTAATACCAAATCGACAATTACCAGGAAATTTCATGCCCTTATTTAATTAATCCCCAAAAATCAAACCCCTGGCCTTAAGCATGACGCTTGATGGAAACGAAACAATACAAAAATTGTATTTTATTAAATGAAAACGAAAGCGGAACTGCGGAAGGCTTTTTTGGCAACCATCAGAGGTGATCCAGTGCGGGCACAGTACAGTAAAATTGTTCCTTGCGTAAAGGGTTCCTTGTCCGTTGGTTGCGTGCCCACTTGCGGAAAAGAGGCCCGCTAATCACCGTACGTTCTTTGGGCTCTTATGCTGGCCCATTCGAGGGTAAGGTAAATTCTGACGTGTCCGGCTTCCATTGGCTGAATGCACGTGGAGCCCTTTGGTGGCATCCAGATTTCAACCAGTAGCACGATTGCGAGAGATTTATAAACAGTATCATCCATGACAAGTGAGGGTTAACTTAACAAGAGCAATTGAATCGCTCTCTCTTTAGTTTTTATTTTTTTAAATGATTAAACTTTTGAGTTATTATTCTGTTTGGCCAATTGATTAAAGCTTTTTTTTTTATACGAAGTTGTACGAACCGATAGCAGAGATCTACTTTGGGTTCCCGATTCTACTCAACCTCTGCGTCTGGGAGGAGAAAAATATATAACGAGGGAGGCAGGCCACAGTTCTCTTCTCTGAGACAGTAGCTGAGAGAAGGGAGAAGCTCGGAAGGAAAAGGGAAGGCGGGGCTTTCCTGGTGAGTTGGAAACCCTAGGATTCTTGGTAATTCCGTCTTTGCGTGTGTTTTCTTTCACCTGTTTGGTTGCTCTGATAAAATTGCGTCCGAATTTCTCTTTCCCTCTTGTATGGATTTTTTTTTTTGGATTCTCGCATTACATTATCCAGTCTCATAGTGTTTCAATTCATTCTCTGATTTGTTCTTGTTTCCCTCCTGAAGGTTGCGTAGCTGGATCGTGATGTATTTTATGCTTCCGATTCAAAAGGATTAGAATTGGATTTTGATTCAGTGAATTTTCGTGGAAGGAATTGAAATCGATGGGGAAGGGAGGGCAGGACGTAGGGAAGAGCGGGAAAGTCGGGCTTGAATCGGAGGAGAATCGGGATGTCTTCCCGGCCTGGTCGAAGGACGTGAAAGAATGTGAGGCCAAGTACGAAGTCGACGTTCAGCAGGGGCTGCCGGCTGCGGAGGTGGAGAAGAGGCTCCAGATCCATGGCCACAACGAGTTGGAGAAGCACGAAGGGACGTCTATCTGGGAGCTGATAGTGGAGCAATTCAAGGACACGTTAGTTAGGATATTGTTGGCCGCTGCCGTCATATCTTTTGTTTTGGCGTGGTATGATGGCAAGGAAGGTGGCGAGATGGAGATCACGGCTTTCGTGGAGCCGTTGGTGATTTTCCTGATATTGATTGTGAATGCGATTGTCGGGATTTGGCAGGAGAGCAACGCCGAGAAGGCGTTGGAAGCTCTGAAGGAAATCCAGTCAGAGCATGCTGCTGTTATTAGAGATGGGAAGAAGATCTCTAGCCTCCCTGCCAAGGAACTTGTTCCTGGGGATATTGTGGAGCTGAGAGTTGGTGATAAGGTGCCTGCAGATATGCGGGTTGTGAGTTTGGTCAGCTCTACGTTTAGGGTTGAGCAGGGTTCTTTGACGGGTGAGAGTGAAGCTGTGAGCAAGACTGTTAAACCAGTTGCTGAGCATACTGATATTCAGGGCAAAAAATGTATGGTTTTTGCTGGAACGACAGTGGTGAATGGTAACTGTATGTGCTTGGTCACTGGCACTGGAATGAACACTGAGATAGGGAAGGTGCATTCACAAATTCATGAAGCCTCCCAGCATGAGGAAGATACCCCGTTGAAGAAGAAGTTGAATGAATTTGGAGAGGCCTTAACCATGATAATTGGAGTTATTTGTGCATTGGTTTGGCTCATTAACGTCAAGTACTTCCTCACTTGGGAATATGTTGATGGCTGGCCCAGGAACTTCAAGTTCTCATTTGAGAAGTGCACGTATTATTTTGAGATTGCTGTGGCTTTGGCCGTGGCTGCCATACCTGAAGGATTACCAGCAGTCATAACAACATGTTTGGCACTTGGCACTCGCAAGATGGCCCAAAAGAATGCACTTGTCAGGAAGCTTCCAAGTGTCGAAACTCTTGGTTGCACCACTGTCATCTGCTCTGATAAAACTGGAACTCTGACAACCAATCAGATGGCTGTATCAAAGCTTGTGGCTATGGGTTCTAGGGCTGGAAATCTGAGATCATTCGATGTGGAAGGCACAACTTATAATCCATTCGATGGTAAAATAGAAGATTGGCCTGTTGGTCGAATGGATGCTAATCTTCAGATGATCGCCAAGGTTGCTGCAATCTGCAATGATGCTGGTGTGGAGCAATCAGGACAGCATTATGTTTCTACTGGAATGCCTACCGAAGCTGCACTGAAGGTGAATAAATACATATCTTCCTATTTCTCAACTTGTTCAACTTCAATAATTTGTGAATAAAATCTGGAGAATTCACGGTTATTCATAAATGTGGTACATCCTTAGAGGCAAAACGGTCCTAACATGGGCTGTTTGGGATCTCTGTGTGTATTTCTGTTCGCCTGTGCCCAAACTTTTAGCTTCTCCTTTATGCTGTTACCTGGGGTCTTCTCTCTTCATTGGCTGACAGATTATTAGTAGTGATTGTGTTGTGTAGATAATTTACAAGTTTAGTTCTTGGTGATGATTATATACGTACTCTAACAATGTGTTTCTGTTCATGTAACAGGTTTTGGTGGAGAAAATGGGATTTCCTGGAATAGTCAATCATGATGCTTCTTCTTTGAGCTCTGAAACTTTACGTACGTAATCCTATCTCAATTTCATTGCCTGCATGTCTTCATTATCACCTTGGTAAAATGCTTGATGTACTTCATCTCTATTGTTATTAAGGTTGCTCTGGACTGTGGAATAAAATGGAGCAGCGAATTGCAACTCTTGAATTTGACAGAGACAGAAAATCAATGGGTGTCATTGTCAATTCTAGCTCGGGTAGAAAGGTGCTGCTAGTTAAGGTATATCTTCTCCCATGTCTATTCCCTTTTTCCTTGTTACTTTTGACATGTTGCTGGATTCTCATAGGTCATCTGATTTTCCTTTTACTGTGCAGGGTGCTGTTGAAAATGTGCTGGAGAGAAGTACTCATATTCAGTTGCTTGATGGATCTACTGTAGAACTAGACCAATATTCTCGGGATCATATCTTACAGAGCCTTCATGACATGTCAACAACTGCATTACGCTGCCTCGGGTTTGCATACAAAGAGGATCTTCCAGAGTTTGACACATACAATGGCGATGAAGATCATCCAGCCCATCAACTGTTACTTAATCCATCTAACTATTCTTCCATCGAGAGTAAACTCGTGTTTGTTGGTTTGGTTGGGCTGAGGGTGAGTGGATGGTTCTATTTTGATTTTTCCGCTGGTTTCACTGCCATGATTCTCGCATAACAATAACCGAATTACAACATTTTCTTAGGATCCACCACGAAAAGAAGTTCCTCAAGCAATTGAGGACTGCAGGGCTGCTGGAATCAGAGTTATGGTTATTACCGGAGACAACAAAAATACAGCAGAGGCTATTTGCCGTGAAATTGGTGTCTTTGGACAGTATGATGATATCAGTTTAAGAAGCTTTACCGGGCGAGACTTCATGGACCATCCCAACAGAAAGGAGGTTTTGAGACAAAGTGGGGGTCTATTATTCTCTAGAGCAGAACCAAGGCACAAACAAGAAATAGTGAGGCTGCTGAAGGAGGAAGGAGAGGTGGTTGCAATGACTGGAGATGGTGTCAACGATGCACCTGCTTTGAAGTTGGCTGACATTGGAGTTGCTATGGGCATCGCCGGAACAGAGGTACTTATACTACATGTCAATTTTCGCTCTTTCTTCTCTGTCAGCTGATACTGATTTTGTAGTAGCCCATGATATACATAGTTTGTAAGTCCATCATTCATATATAAATTTATTGGGTGCATTGATTTGATGCATTCATATTTTTAATCTGGTAGATATGCATATGTTTAAGGGTGTATTTGCTTTTTTCATTAAGAAGCTGAGATTATTTCTTGTCATCTACCCGTTAACTGTGTTTATTATTCTCATCGTTTAATCACTTCAGGTCGCAAAAGAAGCATCTGATATGGTGTTGGCGGATGACAATTTCAGCACCATTGTTGCTGCTGTTGGTGAAGGCAGGTCAATTTACAACAACATGAAGGCATTTATCAGGTACTTCAAATGAACCAACTTTCCCTCTATTTTCGTATCGCAGTAGATTTGGAACAACTTCTTACTTCTCAACATTTTAGGTACATGATCTCCTCAAACATGGGTGAGGTTGCTTCCATATTCTTGACAGCTGCTCTGGGTATCCCGGAGGGGATGATTCCTGTCCAACTTTTATGGGTGAATCTCGTCACTGACGGGCCTCCAGCAACAGCTTTAGGATTTAACCCTGCTGATAAAGATATAATGAAGAAGCCTCCCAGAAGAAGCAACGATTCACTGATCACTCCTTGGATATTATTCCGCTACCTGGTACGCCAATTAGAACCCCTCTAGAAAATTATGGCCAATCTTGATGCATCAAAACTTCGTTTTCTTAAATAATCCCATCGTTTCACGCAGGTGATTGGTCTCTACGTCGGGGTAGCAACTGTCGGAGTCTTCGTCATATGGTACACCCACAGCTCGTTCATGGGGATCGACCTGAGTGGAGACGGTCACACACTCGTCACCTACTCCCAGCTAGCAAGCTGGGACCGTTGCGACTCGTGGAAGAACTTCACTGTCACACCCTTCACTGCTGGTGCACAGACCTTCAACTTCGACTCGAACCCTTGCGACTACTTCAGGTCTGGCAAGATCAAGGCTTCCACGCTCTCCCTCTCCGTGCTCGTGTCTATCGAGATGTTCAACTCGCTCAATGCTCTCTCTGAAGACGGAAGCCTCCTGACGATGCCTCCGTGGGTGAACCCGTTCCTTCTCCTGGCCATGGCTGTCTCGTTCGCGCTGCACTTCTTGATCCTGTACGTGCCTATCCTCGCCCAGATTTTCGGGATCGTGCCTCTTAGCCTGAACGAGTGGCTGTTGGTGGTGGCCGTGGCTTTCCCCGTCATCCTGATCGACGAGGTTCTCAAGTTCGTTGGAAGGTGCACGAGCCAGTCGCGACATTCCCGTTCGACCTCATCAAAGCAGAAATCCGAGTAGGGGTGGAACCACGTAGGGGGAGAGCGATGTGTTTATTTGATTGTGGTCCTTTTCGTTGATGAAATCAATGACGATCATTATGTGGCTTTGGACCATGGAAAGAAAGTATTTGATTAGATTAAATTTAGAAAAAAAAGAACTGTTCTTACTCTTTGCTCTTTAACCTTAGATGTACGAACTTCGAAGAATAGTCTAAAATTTTGTCTCGGTTTCTTGTTTCTCGTTAGACATTAAAGATAAAGGCTGTTTGTGGTTTTCAATGGCGGTTTTAAGGCCATTCAATTGAATCGAATTCAATCTAACATTTTCACATCATATGATTACCTGCAGCTGTGCTTTCTTTTCTCCTAAACTGATAGATTACTGCAAATTGTAGCCAGCTACAAAGATGCCTTAAAATTAATGTAACTGGGACTGCTAATGAGCAAAAATGTCTTTGATTGAATTGAAGCCTAGCTCTTTTGCTCAGGATGGCTTCACTAGGTAAGGTGTCTTAAGCTTTGTAAATAACTAGTGGAATACAAGTTTTGTTACGGCAATTGTGCATATTGGTATTTCAGTTTTATTGATTTTTTGCTTTGCAGCCCTAAGCATAACCAGCATTGTAAATTGATAACAGAATTTGGTAATAGTAGTAGAAATAAGGCAAACTTTTACTGAAAGGAATGGCAATTCAAGAGCGCACCGTGAATTGCAATCTACAGATAGATTCTAAAAGCAAGAATCCATTACTAGTAGGAGAAATCAATTACAGAGTAGAGAACATGAAAGGAAAACAACAGGAACCCTAAGCTAGACATAAAATCTTCCGACGAGCTTCATCTTTCTTGTCTTGACAGCAAGACTTCTTTCTCCTGGATCTCCGATCCTTCCTAACCGCCGAACCCGTAGAGAGTCCTGCCCTGCCTCTTGAGAGCGTACACCACATCCATCGCCGTCACCGTCTTGCGCCTGGCGTGCTCGGTGTAGGTCACAGCATCGCGGATGACATTCTCCAAGAAGATCTTGAGAACGCCGCGAGTCTCCTCATAGATCAGCCCGCTGATCCTCTTGACTCCACCTCTGCGAGCCAATCGGCGAATCGCCGGCTTGGTGATTCCCTGGATGTTGTCACGGAGGACCTTGCGATGGCGCTTCGCTCCTCCCTTTCCCAGCCCCTTGCCTCCCTTGCCCCGCCCAGACATTTTTCTTCAGGAAATCGAATCGAGAGATCAAGAAGAGATTGAGCGGGTGAGCTAATTTGGTGAAGAAGAGGAGTGAATGAGTGAATTGGAAAACCTGTTTGGTGAAGGTATTTATAGAAAGGGAATGGGCTTTGGTTGAAATAGAATCGATTTCGGTCGTGCTGTGGAAGACGCTGTTTCGGCCGTAGATCAGATTTGATCGACGGTTCAGAATGAGAATGTCTCTAGTCGCGGATCGATGACGTGGTTGAAATCTCCGTTTGAAATTTTCGTGTGGGAAATTTGAGAATTTAGTCGCGCGGCTTATTTTTTTTGTCAAAAAAAATGGGCGCGTAGGGTTGAAAGAAAACTGACAGGACGCCGCCGTTTTACGGGACTACGCTAACGGCGCCGTTTCACTGCTCTTCTTCCCGTGTCTCGTCTTGTCAGTTGGTTTGGGAATTCGCAGTTCCAACTTCCAATTTTGCTTAAACCCTAAACCCCATAGCTTGACAGAATACCCTGCTCGGCCGTCCGTAGAAACTGTGATCGTATCTGAAACAATGGGGTTTTTCGACCTCAATATCCCTTACGAAACTTCGCTATCATCCAAGGCGACGCGGATGAAGCTTGTAATCAAGGCCATGGAGCTCGGCTACAGCGGCGTCGCTTACAATCGGACGATGAGAGGCGTGATGTCCGATCACGACCGGTGCTCCATCCCGCTCTTGTCTTTCTCATCTCTATTAAGTATCGTTCCTTCTTTAGCCTCATCTGTCAGTTTCCACCGCGAGCTGCTCGGAGTTTCACGGAACACGCCGTTCCGTCAGTACACTCGTCTGACAGTGTGCGTGGATAGTCCGGCGCAAGCTCAGGTGCTCAATAGCGGGAATCCCATCTTGAAGAGCTATGATGTTGTGGCTGTGAAGCCGACGAATCAAGTTGCATTCGATCATGCATGTGAGAAGTCGGAGGTTTGCTTCCATTTTCCCCCCTAATTTGCGTTTTGTTGGTATGGATCAATGTTGGATTGAGTGTCATTTTGGTCTGATTTCTGTGGTATTACGTGGATAGGTGGACATTATTGCTATTGATTTCTCCGAGAAGCTGCCATTCAGGTTGAAGATGTCAATGGTTAAGGCTGCGGTGGAGGTTTGGCAATTTTTGTTGTTAGCTTCTGTGGTATTCGTTTGCTTTTGAAGTTTGCAAGTGATTTTGTGGTATTCCTTTCCACTGGCAGCGTGGGGTTTATTTTGAGATCATATACTCTGATCTTATTGCGGAGAGAAGGCAGATGATTCCCAATGCCACGGTACGAATTCTGTAGTGGTTCGATGCCTATGTTTAGCATTTGTTGTTGTCCTTGGTCTTTGTTTGGTTACCCCGTTTGAGTGAATTACACTTGATATAACTGTATTATGTATGTTACTTCGAGAGATTCTTTGTTATATGGTTGCTCTTAGCCATTTGTACTGTTTGCATCAGACATCAAGGTTAGAAACAAAATCCGCATTTTTCATGTACATGCCACTATGTTCAAGAGTGATCTAGGTGATGGACGATTTTGTGAATTGGCTGCTAAGTCGTCTTAATTTACAGTATACATCTCTGATGCAGGGGCTAAAACCCATTGTGGTTACTGCTTCTGTTGAGTCTTTGCAGAGGATAACCTGGTATTGCTAATACTGGATAGGGGGGAAAAGATTTATTTTAAGGAATTTGAGAGTTCATTGATTTTATGACTTCCTCAACTATGTATTATTTTCTAATGCTGGTGCTCCGCTTGAAATGATTGTACAGTTTGGTTCTTCTCTTCTGGTACCTGGCCAACATTTTCCCATTGTCTGGAATTGTGACTCCTAATGTTTGCTACATGTCTTAACCTCCAGTTACTGGTCGATTGGACGCGGGGCAAAAATCTAATTTTTTCCAGTGCTGCTTCTTCTGTAAATGAAATTAGAGGGCCTTATGATGTTGCAAATTTATTATCAATGTTGCTTGGCCTATCTATGGAACGAGCCAAAGCAGCTATTTCCAAAAATTGTAGGTATGGATTCTTGCAATCAGTGATTGATTGATGTTTAAGATTTTCTTATATATGTTCTTTGACTTTTTTTTGGCAAACATAATGCAGAAATCTTCTAACTAATTCCTTAAGGAAAAGGTACTTCTACAAGGAAGCTATTAGGGTTGAGCCTTTATCAAGTGGACAAACATTTGACTCAAACAACCCCTTTTCCATGGACTGGCTTATGTGGGATCCCATCTCTAGTGGGGAAGGTGATTTACAGTTAGATGATGTGCCAGTTGCAGTGAAGGCATCAAAAACCATGAAAGCAATTGACTTTGATTCAATTATTGATAGCACCTCTTCACATGGTGGAGGCTTTCTGATGGGTTCCAAGTTCCTTGAATTAACTCCCGCTTCTGTTGAAGTTCCTGAGAAGCTTGATGGAGATCATCCTTTGACTTGTCATATTTCAGAAGCACTACCACAGAATCAAATTTCTTGTTCTGAAAACTCTCAGGAAGCCCGTTTACCTGATGCTGAGGCAACAGCTATTCATTCTGATGAAATTTGGCGCGCAAAAAGCACCGACGGGAAAGAAGCTGCAATCTTGGATGGCTTAGAGAACTCAGTTTCTCTAGCTAAAACTGAAGGACATGATTCCTCTTTACAACACATTTCGTCATCACTATCAAATTCTCAAAATGATGATACAGTCTATCGGAAATCTGTGATGCCTATTGAGGCAATGCCCCCCTGCACCTCAGGTGCTAAAACAGATGTATCCGGGAACACAGACTTTCTTTCTCAAATTGACAAGTGTATGAAGCCACAAGGCTTTGACGCTGAAGTTGATACAACTAGTGTTGACCAAGATGTTGAGGTGATCTTAGAACCCCAGAAAGATGCACAGGCTTGCACAAATCATTCTGGCACTGAACTGATGGAATATGAAAATAATTCAGTTTCAGTTGAGCATAAGTTATCTCTCCCTCTCTCATCCAGCGTCATTCCTAGGGATGCTTCACCAACTGCTAATTATAGTTCCACTGAAGATGTTCAAATGAAGGAGCTAGATCAAAGAGAAGTCAACAGAGATATAATCCTGCTTTCTGATGAGGATGTAAAAGATGACTCTCAAGTTGCAAGTTCTCTGACCTTCGAGGAGCAGAGTTCTCAAGAACAACACCATGGGAAGGCTCAAGGCAATAATTTGACCTCAGTGCCATCTTCTTCAGGTACTATTGTGTTTTTCTTGCTAAGTTGATTGAGCATGCTGATTTCCACAAGGCTTTCTGTTTATGTTATAAGAAGACTGTGCCTTCTGGTTTTCTGTCTATCCAACTGAGGAAGTCGTTTTGGTTTGTTTGTTTGAAGGTCTTTCTTAAATGACGCCCATGTAGGGATGATAAGTATTATCAACAATCGTAGGTGCTCTTCAGAACCTGATCCAATTAGATAGGATAAAACCTGAAGTAGATTGATCTAGAGTGGATTCGGATGACACCTGAACCTGAATGTAAAGGGTAATGGATGGTCGTGGATTTGTCACTATGTTTGATGTTTTCCTCTGTCTCCTGAGTTTACATGGGAGCTGGAAGTGTGAATCCGGTGATGTCTGAGTTGAACTTTTCTTACCTTGTGTTTTTCTTCTCAGTTCTTATTTTCATTACTTAAATTGATCATAGCGTCTCTTTCGCTATTTCATCCATGCATTGGTTCTTTTTGCAAATGAAGGAAGAACAAAAGCAAAATTGAAGAAAACGACAGTGTTACTACCCTTCAAGCGATTGTTGCATCCTATAGCTTTCAAGAAGAAGGGCAAGAGACCTGAGCACAGAAGGATGTTGGCATAATTGGAAAATGCTTTCTTTTTTGGCGCCATGAACACTGGAGCAAATTTTTTGGATGCAGTCTGTACAACTGTAAGATTGCGGTACAGGTAAAACGAAATCTCCCTGTATGCACTGTCCTCATTCATTAATTAAAGCTGACAAAAAAGGGTTCATCTAGCCAATAGATTCTCGACACAAGATTGTATGGAATATCGAACTCTGCTATATTGCATTCACGAAACAGGAACAGTAGTGCCCATGAAACCCTTTGATACTCAAAGATTCGTAGTGGATTTTGTCCTTTGAAAACAGTATTTCTGAAAGGAGGGCATATTCTCCCATTAGCATGGTGCATAGACATATGATATTGTCCCTACATGTTACTGCTTCTCATGTGATCCATTATACTGAGAAAGGGAAAGGGGATCTACTTCCGATTGTGGCTTTGCTTCCTTTCCTTTTTCTCGAACACTGTTCATAGAAGTGATTCAATTAGCTCCCTTTGGTTTCTTTAACCACTAGCTTCATCATTGAGTTGGCTTCCTTTTCCCACTTGCTAGGGGCTGCTAGTTATTATACTCTTGTTTGTGGGTTGATCGCTTTTTAGCCGTACTTGGTCTTTTGATAGATGCCGCTTTCTGTTCTATTGTATATACTATATACATACTTCTTCTCTACTGCACCAGTTCTAGTTATCAAGCAGGTCTAGGTCAGTTAGGGTCATTTGGTGGAGAATCTGTATAGGAAATCATGTTTAACAATATATTAGTTAAGCTGTTGTGGTAATGAGTACATGTTCGCTATAATCAACATTGCATTAGTTTAGTGTTAATAACCTATGGTCCGACATGAAAGAGGGCCATGGTTAAGTGGCTTTTGATTAAGTTAAGTGGGTAATTAAGGGCCGACAAAACATTAAGGAGCGCCGTTTTCCCACCTCTGTGGGGCTCCCCAGGGGAGCCGTGGTTTTAGCTATAGAGAGGGAGAGAGAGCTTTAGGGTTTGTCTACAAGTTGCATGCCTAGGTTCAGATCCTTTGTCATCATTAATTAGTGCCTTTGTCCTCCAAATTACAATGATTAGTAGATGAGTTTTAAGTGAAAATATTGCCACCTTGTAACTTGAATAATGTGAAAAGAAGAACAAAGCCTAGACTAGGAAGGAATTCGGTTTGTTTTACTTTACAGGCAAAGAAAGGCAGAAGATTGATGGGGGAAAAAAATAGATGCTAGTGGTGGGTGGTGGTATTCTTTCTGCTTCTCGAGTGAGAGATTGCGGCATGCATGTGGTGTATACAATCATGCCAGTGTTATAGTAGTGGCTCTATATTTGCAGTTTGATTTTCTTCTTTGGTTAGTGATGGTGAACTAAAAGCTCACCAGCTCCCCACTGCAGCATAAAGTGGACTGGCAGGAAAGCTCCAGCTCCCCCGGCGTTATTTGGATATACAATTACCGAAAGTTTAGCCTTTTTCATGTGTATAATGTTCGGCGGTAAGGTTGTCAAACCTGTTTATGTTTTCATACCCGTTTTGCTAGTAGTATGATTCGATTTGTGGTGTAATTAATTTATGCTAGTTAATGCTAATTTTAGCAAAATAAGTAGGGATAGGAAAGTAGGAAATCATTAATGAAAATGAAAAATCATCTTATTTAAATACAATATATAACGCAAAACAGTTGTAAATTGCTGTGTTTTTTTCTGACAGTAATCTATCTATTGCCCTAGCTTTTCAGTTGAGATAAAGACATGTGAAAATAACAATGTAAATGTTCATGAATAACGAGTTGACTTGAGAACCAAAGAGCGGTAACTTCCCGCAGCACTGAATTTGTCTTTTTTCTGCGTGTGTCGACAACAAGCTAAGCTGCACTGAATGGTGTCAAGAATTTGATGTCCGACGATTCCCGTTGACTACTAGCTGCAGTTCCAATCCCAACCTATTTAATCACTTCGATGATACTGATCTTTCTTTTCCTAGCAAGTAGATGTAATCATATGTTAAACAATTTCAACTTATGCGCCAGTTAAATCATCCTTATATGAGTATTTATGTTACGGGCCGGTTGTGGATCTTTGGTTGAGAAGAATATGGTGATTGAGGATTGACATGACGACGACGAGAGGGACGAGTACCAAACGCACACAGCCTCAAAAAAGCCGTCGACAACGGCCACCCTTCCAATGATATGAACAAGAAGATTATGCTCATCCATTGACTGACTTTGCTTCTGGTGGGCGTCAAATGGCACCCCCACACTTGCTCTCGTCTATCTATAGCACTGACAATACCCTTCCGGGGAATCTATAAGGACGTCTGTCTTTGTGACATGAAGCATATCGGAATGGTGGGAAAGAAAATTTAGTCAATGACAATCAACCTACTTGCAATTCGTGCTTGCCAACTTTTCGGCATCCGGAATCGAATCAACAATTTAGTGTTTGCATATCATAGAAGTTAAATCGAGTCAACTCTCTGTAAAAAAAAATTAGTAAAAAAAAATCGATTAAGAGACACACGTTCAGTTTGCTTGCTATTACGAAGACTTATATGAGAACATTTGATAACGATCCTTTTGTGAATTGGCTCAATAACAAGGGAGTACTCTCCCTAATCATATTCCATCAATGCGATTTTATTTTCTATGATGTACACGGTTCTTTTGCAATATAATTTGTTAAATTCAATCAAATAGTATTTGCAATTATCTTTACAAACGTGCTTGATAAAATAATGCGAAAATATAAAATGATTTCCACAATTAGAAAATGGAAAAGTGTGTCTCAGTGCAAGTCATCATAGGGTGACCGCATTTCATCCGCTTAGAGTGTCAAGCTGCTGCAGTAGCAAACACCTATCTTAACTTTTACTAGTCAATATTACCGGTCATTTAGTGGCGTACAAAGAAGAAACTGGTAGGCGCTTCTTGTTTACATAGGATATTGTTTTTCTTTTCCAAATTTCTGCCTGAATTGGATACGCGCGTATGAGGAATATACGTAACGATCGTATACATCATATGAGCCTGTATCTAATTGAGGCAGAAATTTTGAATAAAATACCTCATACCATTCAATTCCTATACTACAGACAACCAAGTACGTGTAATTTGATCCTCCATTCCTATAATCGAGGTTTTATCTTCGTTTCTAATTTGTTTAGCTGCATATGATGAATTGATATAATATTCTTAAATCCGTTGGTTACATGCTTACAATGATTCGAGTTGTTGGGAGACATCCATATATGGTACTTAATCATTTCCTTACACGTCCGTTCAAACGGAAACTAACTTATGGGCTTGAATATTGCATCAGCCCACCATACCATGTGCTCAAAAAACAATGGTTAATATTAAGTCGTGAGGACTTAAACATGACTGGCTCGTTTGCTTGTTTTATTTGAAAATGAAGGTTTTGATTTTTGAAACCCTTTGGATTTTATGATGGATTTGTTGTAAAAGATAACATTGTTTGTTTAGTTGATTTTGATCATGGATTTAAAGATTTTTGTACCATGGTTCACAAATCTTTTTCTTTCATGGCCAAATATACCAAATGAAATATGGTATTTGCAAATACGTGGGGTCCACGGATTTGGTCCCACGGATTTGTATACCTCAACAAACAATGTTTTTTTTTGGCAAATACATAATGCTTGGAATTTTGATATCAAATACATCACCCAAATCCCACAAGCAAACGATACCATAACTTCAACAACAAACCAGCTCTCATCTTATTCGAATAACTCAAGTTGTTAAAAAATATCTATATATGAATATGATACTTAACCACTTCAAACAACACCGTGAAACAAAACAAAACCATATAATAGATAAAGAGAATTGTAATATTGCATTAGTAAACTAATCTTTAACAATCAATCTGAGAAACCCCCCACATGCTTTATATTTATATATACGGCCACGGTGATACCAAGAATAAACTAACAGAAAACGGTAGTCTCTAGCTACCACAATCACAATCAGCTAGCTATATTTTTAACATAGCTTCTGCTTGCTCATGATGGAGCCATGTGGAGTACTACTCCATCGCTCCCTCTCCAGCTGATAGCTTTCTCCATACGTACGTATACATATAATAATAATGTAATTAAAGGAAGCTTTACTTAATTAGTGACTAACTAGGAACTAGTTAATCATATCCCTAAAGTGATTACATATCAAGGGAAGGAATTTGCTGCATTGAGGAAATTAACCCAATAGTTATCATCGTCTTCTTCCTCCGCATCATAACACTCTTCCCCGTAGTTCTGATTGCTGCTCGACCACTGCTGCTCCTGAATCTGATCTTGATACTGATACTGATACTGATACTGATGATGATGATCACCACTTACGTGATCAAGACCGTTATGATCAGTTATTATCTCGTCGTTCCTCGCAAACCTTCCTCTTATCCTCGGCCTACTGTCCGCCAGCGTCTTCCTACACTCATACTGCCATGAAACCCCGACATTAGTTAGTTTGATCACATGCTTTAATTTGTTCCAGCTTCCACACAGCCATGGAATATATAATAATAACATATATGCAGACAACTATTCCAATGTCTCTCGAAACAGTGCTGCTGGTTATGACTTGAAGGCTTGGAGGTGACATAAAGGATCTCCTCTCCTACTATGTAACGTGTGATTAGATAGCACAGCATGAAACCGTTTGGGTTGAAAGGTAGCGAAAAGCACAACTTATTGTTCGTATTATTTAATTTTACTCTATTATTGGTTGTTGTAATGATTAAAAGTAACGCACTTGTACGAAAAAGGAAACCCCATTAAACAAATAAGCAAACAATTAAGTAGACGCAGAAAGGAAAAAAAAAAAAAAAAAAGAAAAAAAGAGGGGGAATACGTACCTTAATCTTCTTGTTGAAGTTGCGGTGGTTCCTCTTGGTACGGTACCGTTCTATGCGTTGCTGCTTCTCCTCGGGAGTGTACTTGCATGCACGGCTCATGCTCTCGATGATCACGCTGCTCTCGCTCGACAACGGGCTCTCTCCCCGGCTCCCGCCATTGCTGCTGCTTCGATGCTGATAATACTGCCCCTGCTGTGCCCAAAAAACAACCTAGATAATTAGTGTGCCTGCCTCTGCCATTAATCAGACATGAAAAGAATCTTATAGTATAGTAGTACGTTGGAATGGATATACATACATGCAAATCTCCGGCGCTGAAGACCCTCCTCACCGCCGCGCTACTGTCCTCCACGTAGCACTGCTCGGCGCCGCCGCGGCCAGCGGCCAGGTACAGCTCGTGTGCCAGTGAGTGGCTGCTGAGGCTCCGCTGCATGGGACCACTGCCTGGCAAGCCGGACGAGGAGGTGGTGTTCGGCGGCGGGGGAGGAGAGCTGCTGCAGCTGCTGCTGCTCTGATGTTGACCGGCGGGTGAGTCCATCAGTATTCTAGCCGACAAAGCGTGTTGGTAGTGTTGCAGGAGAGCTGCCGACGGAAGGTGGTGCGAGGCGGCGGCGGGAGGGAGGAACGGCGAGGTAGCGGCGGCCTGATCCGTGTCCATCGTGGCGGCGGAGGGGAAGAGCAGGAAATCGGCGGCTGTTTGGTTTCCGTACATGGTGGAGTTAAGGGTGTTTTTGTTGTTGTTGTTGTTGCTGCAATGCTGCTTACTTGGCGATGAGTGTGAGAGAGTAAGAGTAGTGAGAGTGAGATGGAATCCTGGCGGGTTGGATACTTATGGTGGAACGAGACACGACTAGAGTAACTACACTCGCTAGCTATTTAAATAATAACGAAAATAAAAGCTGGCTACAAAGACCAGTAACGTCCTTTTTGTTTGGGAGACAAAGAAAGAAACGAGAGGAGAAAAAAAAAGGGCCCGAGTTGTGTTATGACGTGTACAATGACGTCATCAATGGAAAAGAGTGGGAGGCGTTGACCTTTCCCACTTTCCTCATCTCCTAGCCAGTTTCGGGAAACTCTCTGGTCGAGCTTTGATGTTGATTGTGTACTATATAGTTTAGGAGATATATGAATTGTGTTGGATGATAATAAGACTGAGTGAATTGAATATGAAAAACGTGTGTATTGGAGATAATACTCTATATATATCATGATATAAGCTGAGCTTTTAACTCGTGGACTTAAACAATCAGAAACGTAGCAAAGATCTATTAAAGCACAACGATCACAAAACGGATAAAAACTCAAATCAAATCCACGAGTTGCGAAGAGGGCCAGGTATACAAACGACTATTCGGTTAGGGTGATAAGCTAGCAGAAAACGTCGGTTTCCTCTTGCTGAATCGATTCCACGATCAAGAAAGAAGAAGAAGAGAAGTTGGTGTTTGGAACAACCAATTCTAGGATTTGTATTTATGAATAAAAATGTTGATTACCCCCTAAAAGACTTAGTTCATCTCCTTATATAGGCTACAAAGGTTTTAGGCAAAAAATAACAAAGAAACCCGAGTTTTGGTCCATAAGCCACTTAATCCGCAAAGGAAACAAAAACAACCTGCAACAGTAGGTTAAAATCCATGCCCTGACCTCTCAACATCCACGGTCGTGGATTTGTGTCTTCAGGCCGTGGAATTCCTCTCGATAGAATCCACGACCCCAAGTCCATTTCCACGAACATGGATTTCAACCTCTAAACCGTGGATTTGGCCTGAGACAGCCCCAACTTGAATCGTCATCACTTATCGTCCCACGAACAGCTCGAACTCCATATTGGTGAAGTTCTGAGCCAAATAAGTTTGAAGTCGACCCTTGAATGCCTTGACTTGACTTCTAGTGACTAGCTAGACCATGCTCCTCTCGCACCAACGTTGGACTTATTATCGCCTTGGTGTTGATGCCTTCATCATCCCCTTCCACTTGGAAAGGATTTGCCCTCAAATCTGAGTTGTCTTCAAGGAAAGTCGCTAAGTAAGCAACATTGAATGTAGCACTCACACCATACTCGCCTGACATATCAATCTTGTAGGCGGTGTCATTGATATGGGCGGGGACTTGAAAGGGTACATCTCTACGAGGCGGTAGCTTAAAACATCGTTGTTGGGGAAAACGTTCCTTCCTCATGTGCACCCAGACCCAATCTCCGTGCTCGAATCGTTGAGGATGCCGATGTTTGTTCACGTTCTTCAGAACTTGCTCCGTCCGTCTCGCTATGTTCACCCCCACCTTCTCATGCAAATCTCGAACAAACTCTGCTTTCTTCGCAGCATCAAAATTCACACGCTCATTGACATGTAAAGGAGACAAATTCAATGGGGTTAAAGGATCAAACCCATACTGACTCGCTACGACACAACACCTAACAATGGCCAAGTGTAACCAATGGAAGGGACTGCAGTATAGTGGCTCAAGTGATAAATATCGAATCAACGGGTCTCTAGAGTTACTATTACTCAGCTTCAGTTTATTATTTAGCAAACCAGATTAAGATGAAAGAACTAAAACTACTCTAGCAAACTACAGTTAAAGTTAATCTAATTACAGGTTGGGAACTCACTTAGGTATGATTCCCCCTAGCCACTAGCCAGACTAACGATTGATGATTTCTAACTTGTTTCACTTTCATTCACAATGCGGAGAATCCTTGACTAGACCTTGAGTCTCGACTAAAGGAACAAGGCCCTCTTGAGTCAATTGCCTAGAGGGACGTATCCTTCTCTAGAACAACTGATCAAGGCGTTCTGAACAAGACTCCCTCTATCGAAAGAGGTTCTCAATCGATACAAAGCAGTGAATCAACCCTCGACTAAAGCAATCGATCCACTACTATCAATCTATGGTGCTCTATTGACCTAATCAGGTATTCCCTCTCATAGGATCAAAGCAGAATCAATAATCTCGACTAAAGCAGAATTGAATCATGAAAACATGCATAGATTGAATATGAACTCAAGATTATCAAGTCAGAGTACTCATACAATCATCCAATCAAACAAACATAGCTAGGATTCCTCAAAACCTAAGTGAAGGGAAGTTACTCCATAGAGAAGAGAGAGACTGCAGAAATCTGATCTAGATCTTCAATCTCCATCTCCAAGCTTGATTCCCGAGCTCCAATGGCGAAGAAATCCTCCAAAATAGCTCCAAGAATGTTCCCAAGTCACTCTCTCTCTCTAGGGTTCGTCCCTTGGGTGTTTGGGAACCAAAAACCCAGTTCTCCCCTTTCCTTTGGCTGAAAATCGAGTTTTAAACAGAAATTCCCGATCACGCGGCCAGGCCACACGGCCGTGTGGCTTTCCCAGCTGCCCGTGTGAAGGCTCGGTGATTTCCACACGGCCACAACCCACACGGCCGTGTGGAGTTCCAGGATGCCCGTGTGGCTTGCTCAGCCTCTGTTTAATGCTTCGTTTCTCCCTCGTCCGGACTCCGAATCAGTCCCCGTTTGATCCCAGACGCTCATAGTCTCGTCCTCTTTCTTTTCATGACAAGCTTTCATGATTCTTTCTCCATAAAGTGAGGTAGACATCCATTCTTCTTCAGGTCATGCCCGAGTTTCTTCTCCCGAATCGTCAATTGATCTCTGATTGATTTGAAACTTGCGCCTATGCTTCACTTTATGTGCTAGGACCTGAAATGTGACAAAGGAACACAACCTAGCAGAAAATAGGACAAAGACACAATAATTCAAGCTCAAACAATCAAGAAACAAAGGGGAAAACATGTGCAAATACCGAGTCATCACATACACAATCTCAAACGGTGAAAACTTGGTAGAATGAATATGCCTATTATATGCAAGCTCTACATGAGGTAAGCATTCTTCCCACGACTTGATATTACTCTTTATGGCAACCCTAATCATTTAAGACAAGGTCCTATTAAGTACTTCAATTTGGCCATCCGTCTGAGGGTGGCAAGTACTAGAAAACAACAACTTAGTTCCAAGCTTACTCCATAGAGTTTTCCAGAAGTAACTCAAGAACTTGACATCTCGATCAGAGACTATAGTGCGAGGCATACCATGCAACCTAACAATTTCTTGAAAGAACAGTTCAGCTACATTAGATGCATCATCAGTTTTGTGACATGGGATAAAGTGTGCCATCTTTGAAAACCGGTCAACCACAACAAACACAGAATCTTTACCATTCTTAGTACTAGGCAATCCAAGAATCTTTACCATTCTTAGTACCATTTGGCCGAACTTTTGATTTGGCTTGGCGACACTTAAGACACCGCGCGCACACCTTCTCCACGACACTTCTCATGTGGGGCCAGTAAAAATGTTCATGGAGGCAAACCAAAGTCTTGGATACCCCAAAATGAGCCACGAGGCCGCCATCATGAGCCTCTCTAACCAACAACTCACGAATCGAAGCATGAGGCGCACACAGTTGGTTAGCACGAAACAAATAACCATTAACTCGATAATATTTTCCCTCACCATGCTTCTCTCAAGCCGCATAAACCTCACCAAAATCAGGATCATTGACATACAAATCTTTGATATGCTCAAACCCAATGAATCGAGAATAAAGAGATACAATCAAAGCATACCTGTGAGAAATGGCGTCAGCAACCACATTCTCCTTACCTTGCTTGTAGAAGATCACATAGGAGAAGGATTCGATTAACTCTACCCATCATGCATGTCGTTTGTTCAGCTTATGTTGTGCCTTCAATTACTTCAAGGATTCATGATCGGTGTGGACCATGAACTCCTTAGGCGAGAGGTAGTGTTGCCACGTTTCTAGGGCTCGAACAAGAGCACAGAGCTCTTTTCCATACGTGGGATAGTTCAAGGCATCCCCACTCAACTTTTCGTTAAAGAAAGCTATTGGCCTCTTCTCTTACATCAAAACAACACCAATGCCTGCACCAGAGGCATCACACTCGATATCGAATGTTTTAGAAAAGTCAGGCAACATCAGCAAAGGAGCATGAGTTAGTTTATATTTCAAAAGCTAAGCTTTCTGTTGAGCTTCACCCCATTGGAAGGTCAGGTTCTTCTTGATTATGGCGGTTAAAAGAGCAATAATGGTGCTGAAATCCTTTACAAACCGCTGATAAAACCCTCCAAGGCCATGAAAACTTCGAACCTCATTCACATTAGTTGGGGTGGGCCATGCTTTTATTGCCTCAATATTTTCCTCATACACCTCAATTATCTTCGAACTCACCACAAACCCCAGAAACACAAGTCTATCAGTGCAAAACATGCATTTCTTGAGATTGTCATACAGTTTCTCTTTTCGAAGAGTCTCCAACACAACTCTAAGGTGATTCACGTGGTCGTCTAAGTTCGTAGAATAAATCAAAATATCATAAAAAAATAGACACCCATGAATTATCCAATAAAAGCCCTCAAAATATGGTTCATTAATCTCATAAACGTGCTAGAAGCGTTAGTTAAACCGAAAGGCATAACCAACCACTCATATAAACCATGTTTCGTTTTAAAGGTTGTTTTTCATTCATCACCTTCTTTCATTCGAATGTGATGGTATCCAGATTTAAGATCTATCTTAGAAAACACACTAGAACCATGCAATTCATCCAACATATCATCCAATCTAGGAATAGGATGTCGATACTTTACCATGATGTTGTTGATGGTTCAACAATCAACACACATACGCCAAGTATTATCCTTCTTAGGTACGAGGATGACGATTATAGCACAAGGACTCATGCCCTCTCGAACATGACCCTTCTCCATCAACTCGTCCACCTGCCGTTGAAGCTCTTTGGTTTCCACCGGATTGGTGCGATACGCAGGTTTGTTTGGAATTGAAGCACCAGGGACGAAATTGATTTGGTGCTCGATCTCTTTGATGGGCGGAAGCCCCTTGGGATCTTCCTCAGGAAATACATCCTCGAATTCCTGCAAAACAAGTTGAACACTGCTAGGCAAAGCCTGAAGGTCGTTAGAGCTAAAAATTGTCTCCTTGTAAAGGAGCATGATCATCGGCTCCTGGGTGTTCAAAGATTGCTTGATCTCACCTCCACTCGCAAAGAAATTCTCTCTTCTCACCGGAGCTTCAGTTGTCGTTCTTTTCTTTTCGACGTTGAGATTTTTGTTTCTCTCGTGGCTGGCTCACTGGAGAAGGATCACTCGAATTTTCTCTCTTATTTTCTCTCAACTCGATTTTTTGCTTCTTCTCTTGCTCACAGAGTTGTTTTAGCTGCACTTGATCTTCATTGACCTCTTTGGGAGTCATTGGCACCAAGGTATGTATTCGCCCCTTGCAAGACAGAGTGTACTTATTTGTCTTGCCATCATGTTGGACCGCTCTGTCAAATTGCCATGGACGTCCCAAGAGAATATGGGAAGCCTGCATAGGTACCACGTCATAGAGCACCTCATCCTTGTATCTCCCAATCTCAAACCTCAGTTGCATCGGTCGTGCCACCTTAATAGATCCATCCTCGTTCAGCCACTGCAATGTTTAGGGTCGCGGATGCTTGATGGTTCTAAAGCCTTGCTTTGCCACCATGTCAGAGCTAACAATGTTGGTGCAACTCCCTCCATCTATGACCATCGAGCACAGCTTCCCGTTGACCAAGCAACAGATGTGGAATAGGTTCTCCCGCTGCTCAATCTCTTCTCTTTGTTGCACATTCAGAAGTCACCGAGCTACACAGCTGTAGTTATCTTTCACTTCCCGCTCCTCGGTGTCTTCTTCCTCATATTCAGTCTCAACCTCTCCATCTTCAGGCTCGGACTCGTACTCACCATTCTCTAGTAAGATCATCACACGCTTGTTCGGGCATTGATTGGCCACATGACCCTCACCTTGGCAACTATAACACACACAATAGAGCTTGAACGTGTGTTAGTAGCTGCCTTCTCTTCAGCATTGGTGGAAACTGGCTTGGGCACTGGCTTAGGTTCCTCCTTCTTCACGAATGGAGCTTGAGTTGCACTCGAGGAGGCACTCGTGCATGGTGCAATCCTCAGCGCATAGCCTTCCTTTTGTTGATTCTCGACCTTAGTAGCCATCTGCACCAGATCCTCAATCTCCACGACCTGCCTGATCTCCCGATTAAGACCAATGAGAAATCGAGTCATGGTTGCTTCTAGATCATCATTGACGCGAGCTCGAATCATCAATGTCTCCATCTCTTTGAAATAATCCTTCACGCTCTTCGCACCCTCTCTCAACAAATGCAGAGCTTGATGCAAATCCCGTTGATGATGAAGATGCACGAATTTCCTCCTCATGGCTGCCTTCATTTGAAATCAGGTCGTGATGGGCTCTTCTTCGTCCAATCTCCGTTCATCACCAAACTGGTCCCACCAAACAACGACATAGTCCGAAAACTCAAAATAGCAATGATTACATTCTTCCGTTTGGAGTAGTCGTGGAACTCGAACAAGTACTCCATCTTTCTCTCACAGTTGAGGTAAGTTTCAGGATCACTTCTCCCTTGCAATGAGGGAACCTTCACCTTCAGTCCCCTCAGATCATCATCCCTATGTCGGGGATACTCTTCCTCCTCGTAGTACTCCTCATAGTCATGAGGTTTAGGAGCTCTACGTTCTTGAACTGGTGGTCGTCCTCCTCGACCCCTCACTCCTCGTCCTCGCAAGGGTCAAAGGTTATTAGGATCTAGGAGACGTCCATGTATCCCACGTGGTGGTGGAAGTGCTTCCTCA